TTTTAATAATAAAATGCCGCCTCAAATATAAGAAGCAAATTTTTGTTAAAAAAACAAAATTGTTGTTTTTTTAACATTAAAACGCTGTTCTGAACATCAGAGGCAGATTTTGTTAAAAAAATAACAAAATTGTTGTTTTTAACATTAAAATGTTATTCCGAACGTCAAAGGCGAATTTTTGTTAAAAAAACAACAAAATTGTTGTTTTTTAACATTAAAACATTATTCCGAATGTTGGTGAATTTTTGTTAAAAAAACAATAAAATTGTTGTTTGTTTAATATTAAAATGCTGTTCTGAACGTTAGAGGCAGATTTTTGTTAAAAAATAACAAAATTGTTGTTTTTTTAACATTAAAATGCCATTTCGAATGTCGGAGGCAAAAAAATATTTTGATCTATCAGATACAGATACAGATTCAGATTTGTCAGATTCAGACATGGATTCAGATTCAGACTTGTCAGGTTCAGATTGAATTAGTTTCAGATTTTTCAGATTCAGATTGAATCGGATTCTGATTTTTCAGATATAGATCGAATCGGATTTTGCCCAAATCCAATCTGATTCGATCCATACGAAACACTAATAGTAAGTATTAGGTATTTTGTAGAAGAAACTTCTTTAATATCTCGTATATATATTTATATGAAATAATAAAATTTTAAATGTTAACTTTAATTAATTTTAATAAAAATTATTAGAAAATTGTTATAATTTACTTTTAAAAGAAATATAATTTCTTCAATTATACTCAATTCAATTTCATTAAGTTCAAAAATTCAAAGATCTTTATCTGAACTTATAAATACATCCAAGGCCTATAATATAAATAGTAATTTAATATTAAAATATAAATAATTCCAGTTTACTTATATATAATACTAACTTCACGCATTTCTAATACTCGTTCTAGCATATCATGTGTTGAATTTCACCTTGTTCTAATGTTAAGAATAAGTTTAAATTCCTTAAGACCAGTTGTTTCAGCTTGATGTACAAATCTTTCCTTACGTTAAGGTAATAATTGAATTTTAACTATAAGTTTATGAAGCTAAATATTAAATAATAATAAAAAAATTATTATAATATAATAAATATAATTAATATGATAGACAATTATTCTAAAATAAGTAATTTACTTTCAGAATTATTTCTCTAGCAGATATAACTTCATCTAATTTATTTTAATATATTTTGTATTGCTATATTCATTATATAAGTAATACAACAACAATGAGAACCAACAGCATCGAATGAAATATTTTTATTTTAATAAATATTTTCCAAATACTCTATAAAAGAATCATTATTTAAAACATTATCGCTTATAATTACAAAAATCTGAATTATTTATTATACTTTTTTATTAAAATACTTATTTTAAGAAACTGAAAAATGAGTGAATATATAAAAAATTTTTTTTTTAAAATTCCAAATTCTTGGTAGCTTTTTACAAAAGCATTACAAAGGTTTCACCAGAAATAGATCCACAAAGAAATATAAAATCAAGTAAACTATCTTAAAGCATTCAATCTTTGATAATCCAATGCATTGTAATAGCTAAAAATCCATAATCATTTGTAAAAGTCCATGCATCTAGAACAAATAAAATTTGCCTAAAATATTCTATTAAAATATAAATATAAAAGTATAAAATATATAAGTTTAAAATAAATATATTATTTTAGTGTATATTTAAAAACTTATTTGAAATAAACCTTTTCTTCTTTCTTTTTTCTTCTTTATAATATTCTATAATATCCTTTTTTATTGTGTCTGCGATTAGAACTACTGCATCTGAGTTTAATACTTTTATCATACGCTGAAAATGCTGATTTTTAGATGTTGTAAATAGCTGATCATTAGCAACTATCCATTTAATAAGAAAAGTATAAAATCCAGTTTGTGTAAACTGCATTTAAGAATAAGAAAATAATTAAAGGATAGTAACTTTTTAAAATATAATTGATTGCTACTTACTTTAGGTGGAATTTCTATTTGACCTACAAATCCATCTAATGTACTTTGGTCTTCAGCTATTAAAATTTAGCTTTTTTGGTTTTGGATCTTTATATGGGTGATATTTCTCTAAATGACGTTAAAGATTAGTTGTGTTTGAGTCACTAATTTTTCATTACTAAGTTTTTTTATCTCTAAAGTTTTAAAAAAGAATTATGAAATAATATATGAAGTTTCCAATATTAAGTATATATTTTCAATTAAACTTTCCATTTAAAATTTTTTACTTACGAATAGTTATGATACCTAACTTTACAGTGTATTTTCACATTTTTATACTCTAATAGAAAGTTTTTCTCCTCAAAGAGATTATTAATAAAGATCTCATTATGCAAACTTTTTCGTTTTCCAAGTTGAGATACTAGTTCAATAAGATTAGTAGTTTTAGACATATTTATATTTTCATAAATATAAGTCACAAACAAATTAAAATTTACGCGTGAAAAAAAACATAACAAACAAAACTAAAATTTGGTAAAATTTTTTGTGTGAAAAAATACATGCGTCATCATAATGTCATTTCGAGTCACCTGAGTTATTCTAAGTCAAAACAACAGTATAACCCTAACTCAATAGGTTAAGTTATGCGGGTCACAGATCATCAAATTTATCAATTCTAACTCGATTTAAAATCTGAGTCATGTTGATCACCCAGATCTGACCCGATTCTTTTAGAGCACTAAATATGATAATTTAATTATATGAAAGGTTTGCTAGGAAAATGGGGTTCTGAGAAATTTTTATTAAAATTTTAATTTTTATTATATTTTAATTTTTTATAATGTTAGATTAAAATGCAATATATATTAAAATTTTAATAAATAATGCTTAATGACTCATTTTCCTAACAAACCTCCTATATATAATTAATAAAATGATTACAGCTAATTTCATAATTCATGGACCATTAATAATTTTTCAGTCGCATTCAGTCGCAATATTTTATAGTAATTTTATTATAAAATATTTTCAGTCGCATTCAGTCGCAATTTATTAGTGGTCCACGAATTATGAAATTAGCTGTAATATGATGATAAAAGCATACCTGCTATATTTTTATATATATAGAATAAGCAATTAGATTAGATTATAAAAGATTATCAATACACAAAATTTAAAATTTTAAATTACATAAATACGTAATTATTTATTATATGAGATATATAACTAAATATATCTTAACTGTTAATATATACTCAGTATAAAGTATATAATAATTTATTATAAACTAATATTGATAATTTTATAAATTTAAAATAAATATAAAATATTGATAATATTAAAATAAAATAGATAAAATACTATATAAAATCCAATTATTAATACAAAATGATTAAAATTTTGGTATAGAAAAATATAAAATAAAAATTATATAATATAAAAAAATTTTGAATTAAAATGAATTTTCATAAAACTTAATTTATTATACAAAATAATAATAAATTAGTTTTTTAGAATTAGAATTAATTGCAACCTTTATAATTATTATTACTATTTAAAATTATTAAAATAATAAATGATCTTAATAGATTTTTTCAAACTTACTTATTTTTAAAGTTTTAAATATATCGAATCAATCTAAAATTTTTTAGTTCAATTTAATTTGTTATAAAAAAATAATTCAAAAAAAATTTCAAATCAGTTAGATTTTTTTCATATTATAATTTAATCTAAAACTAATAAATTTAAATTGAATTGATTCAATAAAAAATTTTGATTGATTCAAAATTTCAGTTAATAATAAATCCTTTAAATTTTAAGATGTATTTTATTAGAAAAATAACTGATAAAAGTAAAGCTTTGTATAAGCTAAGTATGCCAAGACTCAACTCAAACTATAATAAAATAACTCATAAGCCAGTTAAGTCAGCTTATATCATGCTTCACTTATAATGCAGTTTAGCTCATCGGTTTGAATTTTTCAAAAAAATCCAAAAGTGTTTTAGTTAAAGAAAATGTATTCAAAGTGTTAACTTTAAATAAAATTATACTTAAAGTATTAAACTTTGAAGAAAATTACTTTTATAGTATTGTCTTTGAAGAAAAATGTTATAAAAGTATTTTCTTTGAAGTGTATGCTTCAGTAGTATTATTCTTCAAAGTTTATACTTTTAGAGCATTTCTTTAAAGAAAAATATTACAGAAGCATATTCTTTGAAGTTTACACTCTAGTAGCATTTTTCTTCAAAGTAAATGTTACTGGATTGTTAAAATTCAAAGAAAAATGCTACTGATGCATTTTTTGAAAAATATGCTACCAGTATATTAATTTTGAAAAATGCTACTGATGTATTAAAATTCAAAGAAAATACTACCAGAGTGTTAATTTTTAAGAAAAATTCTAATAGAGCGTATTCTTTCAAAAAATGCTATTAGTACATAATCTTTGAATCTAATACTCCAAAAGTAATTTTTCTTCAAATTAATGTATCAGTTGCATTTTCTTCTAATTTTAATATATTGATAATATTTTTCTTCGAGGTTAATAAATCGGTATTGTAAAATTTAAAGAAAACACTCTGAAAGTATTTTTCTTCTAATTTTATGCTCTAGAAGCATATTTTTTAAAGATAATATACCAATATCATTTTCTTTAAATTTTAACCTTTCAGTATTTTTCTTCAAGATTAATATAACATTATCATTTTCTTGAACATTAATGCTTTGATAGCATTTATTTTGAGATTAATACACCAGTAGCATTTTTTTTGAATTTTAATGCTTTGGTAGCAATTTCTTTAAATTTTATTACTCTGGTAATGTTTTTTCAAATTAAATGCACTGGTAGCATTTTCTTCAAATTTTAATGCTCCAGAATATTTTCTTTGAATTTAAATTTATTGATAGTGTTTTCTTTGAATTTAATACTCTGGTAGCATTTTTCTTCAAGATTAACATATTGGTAATATTTTTTTTCAAATTATAATGCATTGGTAGCATAGCATTTTTTCAAAGTTATATACTGATATAATTTTCTTCAAATTTCAATATGCTGGTAATATTATTCTTTGAAAGAAATACTCTAATTTTACACTTTAAAAGCATATTTTTTGAAGATCATATACTGTTAGCATTTTTCTTCAAGAAGAATATTCTGAAAACATTTTCTTTTCAAAAAAACATTTTGAGATATTTCTTTTTAAGAAAATTATTTCAGGAATTTTTCTCTTAAAGAGAATTATATTAGAGATGTTTTCTTTTAAATTAAAATGATTTAGAAGTCATTATCTTAAAAAAAATCTCTTCTCAAAGTATATCCAATCTTTTTGAAATATTGTTTAGGTAATAATATGAATTAAATGAACTGACTCATTTGGCTTATAAACTGACTCACCTTATTATTTTTTGATTCAAGCCAAATTGAGCCTGAACTGAAATAAATCAGTTCAACTCAAACTAATTATTAGCTGACTTATATAGAGTTTTGGATAAAAGTCACATCCAAATTATCAAAAGTAAATTTTTATTAAAAAAATTTAATAAAAGTCAAACCTAATTATCTGAATTTGATCCTTCCTTTATTATTTCAGAAGAAAAAAAATCAGAACAATCATTGTTAAAAGTTATCAATATAATAGATAAAATTTGCAAAATCTTCTTACTGAAACTGCAGAAAATATTTCTCTTACAATAGACCTTTGGTTTAGTAAAGCCAAAGATTGATATTTAGAAGTTATTGAAATTTGGATTATATTATATTTTAAAATTAAAGATATACTAAAAATCAAATATTTTACTTCTTCACATTTAAGCAAAATTATTGCTAATGAACTTTATAAATATATTGAATCTTAAATATTATGTAATAACAACTATTATTATAAATAATAAATCAAATATAGTTGCAACTTTTTCTTTATTAAACCAAAAAATAATGTAAGAATTAAAGATGGATACTATAATTAAAAAGTTGCAACTTGGTTGCAACTTCTTGTAAATTTATTTTAATATAAAAATTCATAAAATGTTGCAACTCAAAGTGTT